TCGGGTCATTTGAAGCAACTTCTTCCTTTACAAAAATTCTCTCCGAGGCACTGTTCACGAGTTATTAACGAAAAACAGTGACCAATGAGATGCGAGCTCGGCTGGCGCGCGGCGACCGAGCCAATGACCGGAACTGGGCTTCGCGCACTGGTTGGCTGGGCCACCTCGCGTCAGCCGTACTCGATTCTTATTGGTCACTGTTTTTCGTTGATAACTCGTTAACGGTGCCTCGGAGAACATTTTTGTAAAGGAAGAAATTGCTTCGAATGATCTGAAGAATTCGCCATTTCCATATTACGAGACACTTTTAGGACACACTGCAGATACACTGTAGCGTTCTAAGTATGTGCTCGCTATCACGAATGAACCGATTTCGATAAAAAGATCCACAAAATGCGTTGTTCGAATTTCCTGATAAAGGAGCGAAGAAGCAAAACTTTCTTCGTATTTCGATCATTTTCATCGCATAAATGGAGTTCCGTCGTGCTTCGTCCTACGGGAAATTTGTTTCCCAGGACTTCCGTATCGAGGAACGATCGCAAAAGCTTCTATCGAAAGCTTCGCCGGCGTTTTCGCGTCGAACGTCGAGCGAAACGGCGACCCGATTGCGCGGCATTTTCGGAACAAGCGCGAATCGGCTTGTCTTCCCATCCGGCGATCGATAAATCCGCACGGTCCCGCGATCGATATCTTCTCGTCCCGGTGCGTCCGAGGCACGTTGCATTCAAATCCGACGATATTGCGTTACACGGCCCCGATCTCTGCTCGTCCGTAATGCGGCTTCTTCGCGTTATGATCCGTGACCGCATTTTTTCCACGGATTGCCGTTCAACCCGAATTCTCTCTCTCTCTCTCTCTCTCTCTCTCTCTCTCTCTCTCGCCGGGAGTGCGACCGGGGGGCAACGACGGAAGGAAATCGTCCGCCATGTCGAAAAATTACTTTCGAAAATCCAGCGACGCCGGAACTGGACCGGAAATCGAGCGACGTGCCGCCGCCGCGCGCGCAAGGCACCGGCACGATTTCGAGCGATGGATTCGATGGATGGATCCAAACGCCGGCGGGATCCTCTCTCGGAGCGGAGAAATTGCTCCGAGGGATGGGAATCGACCGAAACCGAGGTTTCGGTTCTGTGAACCCGCAAATCGACCGATTCTACTCGGGTCTATCAAACCGTGCTGCGAGGAAACGGTTACACAAGAGATCCTCGGATGATGTTCCGTCCATTTTCATTTTCCACGTCGAGCCAGCGAAACAGCCGCATTTCGTATTCCAAGGAGAGCAGCGTCGGTGTTCACGACATAGCGAGCACCTGCAGTCATAAATAATTTACGAACGCGTCGTGCCTTAAATGCGTGCGGATCGAGACGGATTACGATCTAGAGGAAATCGTAGATCGGCGAACTTGTGATTTCGTGCCTTCTTCGATCGCGTTTCAGCGCATTTCGTCGCTTCGATGCAATAAACAGTTGTCAGCAATTCCGTGTTATAGAGAAATACAGCAGGTTCTCCCAAATTGGCGTTCGGCTTGGAAATAAAAATGGACAATTTTTGGAAGAGGAGATACGATTATTCGAGCCTTGCGGTTCGATTTGTCAATAATTATAAGAACGAGCTCTGCAGGGCTCAAATAATCGTATCCCCTCTTCCCAAATTCTCCATTTTTGTGCACGATCTGAGCGTCAGTTAGAGAGACATTACAGTACAGTAGGTTCTCCCTAATTGGCGCTCGGCTTGGAAATAAAAATGGATAATTTGGGAAGAGGAAATATGATTATTCGAGCTTTGCGGTTCGATTTGTCAATAATTATAAGAATGAACCGCAGGGCTCAAATAATCGTATCTCCTCTTCCCAAATTCTCCATTTTTGTGCACAATCTGAGCGTCAGTTAGGGAGACATTACTGTACAGCAGGTTCTCCCTAATTGACGCTCGGCTTGGAATTAGAAAAGCACAATTTTGGAAAAGTGGGCTCGATGATCGCATCTCCTCTCCTCAAATTGTCCATTTTTATTTCCAAGCTGAGCGCCAATTGGCGAGAATTTTACTGTACAGTAATGTCTCCTTAACTGACGCTCAGATTGTCCACTAAAATGAACAATTTGGGAAGAGGAGATACGATTGTCCGAGCGCCTGCACTTTGTTTTTATAATTGTTGACAGTCGATAACTATAAAAACGAACCGCAAGGCTCGAATAATCGTATCTCCCCTTCCCAAATTGTCCATTTTTTCTGAGCGTCAGTTAGAGAGACATTGTCCTATGACACAATCGAAGAACAATCAACCCGCACACGTTATTTAATACTAGATTTACGAACCACAAGAAACAGCTATTTTATATTAATTTGTAAAAGTAACAATAAGACATTTATTCTGATATTTAACCAGCGTTATTGTAACACTTGCCGCAAGTTTAACCTATACATTGAATAAATAACTCATAAATCGAGTTTATCTCGATTCTTATCTTTACGATATGAATAATCGTAAATTAAAGAATCAGTGAGCCGTCATTTTGACGGGTTCCGTAAATCTAGCGTTAAAAACAAAAGCCAAATGATTTTTCACATTTTCATCCTGGTACGACGACTCTCACGAAAATCATTAGTACACTTGGACTCACGATGGACTCTAAAATAAAAAGTGCGAATGTTCGTCTAATTTTAAATAACTGCGTCGGTGATATTTTATGTTTAATAACCCTCTAGATAACGGAAGCAAGGAAAATCGAACTTTTATTGTAAAATTGAATGGACATACAGTAATGTCTCCGTAATTGTCGCTCCGATTGTCCACAAAGACGGACAATTTGGGAAGAGGAGATACGATTATTCCGAGCCTTGCAGCTCGTTTTTATAATTGTTAAAAATCGGTAACTATAAAATCGAGTCGCGAGGCTCGAATTCGCAAGGCTCCTCTTCCCAAATTGTCTAATTTAGTGCACAATTGGGGAGACATTACTGTATAATTTTCTGCACCGGTGAAAGTTAACTTAAATTATACTCATGCGTACCGAATCGGACAACATATGGACGTCGCAAACAGTCGCAAGACTTCCCTGCAAGTTGCAACCTGCAATATTTGCGGAGGTACGGCCGCGTCTTGGCCAATCGAAGGTCCGAACGACTTGGTCAGGAAACGCGAGACAAAGTCGAAGGACAGAAAGGAGGTGCGTGTCGGAGACGCGACCCTGCTGCTTTTCATTGAGGGCCCCGTTTCCAAATCGACAGGATGTCCATTCACGAAATAATGAAAGCCGACGGATACGAGCGGGTCCGTCGGTGCAGTGTCGGGGGACGCGTGTCACGATGCGGGCGCCATTAAATGTCCCGTGCACTTAGGCTCCGTATCGCGCTCGCGCTCGCGCGCGCGCGCGCGATGCTCCCGCCGTTCGCGTTCCTTTTTATCTGAAAGCCTCCGATAATAATTTTCGGGCGAGACACGTGTTACCGAAGTCCGTGAACACGGTGTCGCGGGTACAGCGTCGGCCAAAAGTTGTCGTCCAAATAATTCATCTGTAACACACCTGCCGAAATTTCGGCGCGTTACCTTTCGCGGATCAACGCGAGATCTTTCGCGATCGACTCGGCGGTCTCGTATCTAGATCGCGGATTTTATCCACTTACGAGAAGCAGCAGCGATTTATCGAGAGTAAAAATAAGTTGTTACTTAATTCCTGTGTTCCGCAATCAATGGAGAACGAAGAATACAGAAGATCAATTATCACTATTGTGTTTTGTACAGGAAGGACAGCAATCTTTCGATTGGCAGCGTATTTTTGCAATCGATGTTATATTTTCTTCGATGTTGAGCGTTTTGTAAGATAACATCGAAAGCGATAACGCGGAGGAATTTCCGCTCGATTTTCCATCGGCACGTAACAACAACGCAGTTAGCATAATCAGAGAGGGTCATCGGATTTATTCCCGATGCTTGCGTCGGTATTTTAACGCGACGTGTACGGTGTAAAGATGACCGGTTTTACATTTTTTCTTCTTGAATCGAAATTACGAAGGCTCTTTTTCTAAAGGATAATTAAGTAATTCCCATTGTTCAAGCTTATATTATAATAAAAATGATGATGAGCGTAAATAGTATTTTAACACGACGCGTATCGTCTCAAAATGACTGGTCTTACATTTTTTCTTTTTGAATCGAAATTACGAAGACACTTTTTTAAAGAGGCAATTAAGTAAATCCCATTGTTCAAGCTTATATTATAATAAAAATGATGATGAGCGTAAATAGTATTTTAACATGACGCGTATCGTGTCAAAATGACCGGTCTTACATTTTTTCTTCTTGAATCGAAATTACGAAGACTCTTCTTTAAGAGACAATTAAGTAAATCCCATTGTTCAAGCTTATACCGTAATAAAAATGATGATGAGCGTAATATAGATTCGGTCTTCTCATCTTTATAAAGCAAAACGGACGCGAGTTAATTTTACAGCTCGGTAGGTTTAGTGCCAAAATCGCTTAGCACGAGCCGTAGAGCAACTCGAGCAAGTTCTTCGGATAAAGTATGCTCGACTACGGCCTGGAATGACGATACGCGGGGACCGCGTTTCACGCGCGAATAGGCATGCAAACTGGCTTGAAATCTTCTTAAGAGGTAGAAACGACGCCGATTGGGCTTCGCGTCAACGAACGCGAGTGCAAATAAATTCCCCGAGCTAATCAATCCATTCACCGTGCTCATTATCGACTACGAACGAAAGCAATCTCCTCGACGCAACAAAAATATCGAGTACGCGAGGCTCGCGCTTCGATCCATTAGCAAAAATTCATCACCGTGGCAAAGATAATTCCGGTGGACGTGTCGAGATGAATTTTTCGAGTCAAGGATCGACGAGAGAGAAAGAGAAAGAGAGAGAGAGAGAGAGAGACGCGTTTTCTTGGAACTCGGTCGAGACGAGACTCGAAAGTCATTTCGCCGGATTCCACGCATAACCGTTCCGATTCCGAGCGTTCAAGTTTTCTTTTCTGTTTGGCCCGCAGGTCGGCGACGGAGGCATCATAGTGCTGGACGCCACGTTGGACGCGTCGACGACCGATGACGCCGAATGGGAGCTAGCCGGCGGTCCGCCCTCGCCGTGCGACGTCTCGTTCTTCAACGACAACGTGCTCATCAACGGCCGCAGCAATCTGTCGAGGACGCCGCGGAATCACAAGGTAACACCTGCGATCTCTTCTATCCATCGTCGCACCTGTTGATCGCCGAGACAGTCGCCGCCGGGTCTCAGACTTTCGTCCGCGTTTCAGATTTATTGGGCCGCTCTTCGCGCTCCCTCGTGCAATTCAATCTCGTCGATCGGTTGTTGTCGCTCGCGCGCCTCTTCTCTAACATTTTACAGCCCCGCTTTTCCTATTCCAAATGCGTTTGGAATTTTTTACAATTATATGAAAGTTTCTGTCGAGAACTACGAAGTCGTAGGAACGCGTCGATTGTTACGGGTGACGCAATTCTTTGATCGGAGTTAGACATTGTATCGTCACATATTTGAGAGGTCGCTGTTGGGCCTCGCAGCTCGTCGAAAAACAAAAAAATCAATCGCTGTATATACAGGGTATCCCGAAAATGTCTCGCAATTCGGAAATGGGAGGTTCCTGAGGTCATTTGAAGCAACTTTTTCCTTAGCGAAAATGCGATCCGCGGCTTCGTTTACGAGTTATTAACGAAAAACACTGACCAATAAGAGGCGAGCTCGGCTGACGCGCGGCCGCCCAGCCAACGAATGCACGGAGCCCAGTTCCGCTCATTGGCTCGGCCGTCTCGCGCCGAATGATCTCGCCTCTGATTGGTCACTGTTTTTCGTTAATAACTCGTAAACGAAGCCGCGGATCGCATTTTCGCTAAGGAAAAAGTTGCTTCGAATGACCTCAGGAATCCCCTACTTTCGGATTGCGAGACATTTTTGGGAGGGACACCCTGTGTATGTATAATCAGTGTTAACTTTCCGGTCTCAGATTCCTCGAATAAATTGCCTCGGAGTTATCGAATTCGTTGGACGAGTTTCGTAGAACGTGTTCACGGAGAAACTGAAGCAGGAAACTGTCGCAGACATTCCTAACGTTGCTATAATTTATTTAAAACGGGAAGAAATTCAAGCGTATCATATGTTTGCTTGAAAAACGATTTCGATTGCTAATTAACTGATTAGAAATGTTCCGTCGAGCGGACCCGATAGCGAGCGGTGACAAAAGATGAATTCTAGTAACGATCTGAGGGATTCTAGTAACGATCGATCGATCGATCGACGATTATGATTACCGTGAATCGTAAAAGTAATCGCAAAATAATCCATTGCTGCTCTGCAGAGGTGGCGGATGAGAGTTCCATGCTTCTCTCTCGAGACCAATCAGCATGGTTCTGTTTTTGCGGGGGAAAGTGGACCCGGTGAAAATTCGTGCCGGAGCAGGAAATGTTTTTCTCTCGAGCGAGAGAAAGAGAAAGACTGAGTGAGAGAGAAAGAGAGAGAGAGAGAGAGAGAGATCGGCACGGAATCGGCGGTCGTTTTGCCGCGTTCCCATGAGCCACGGTAGATTAACTCCTCCGACGAGCGGCTCGCAAAATTGTAGCCGGTTTCGTGCTTGCCGGCAACTTTTACTTCGCGAATCGGTGATAGGCCGTCGCCGTTCTGTCGTCACGGGAATCCGCATGAATCCGCGCGAATCCCATCGCGTCGGCTCCGTGAGAAACTCTCCGGATCCCCGTTAACGAGGACGATCAGCGACACTTGTCGCATCGACCGTGGAATTTGTTTAGTCGGCCGGCGCACGTGTTCCGCATTTCGCGACGAATCCCGTCCTAGACGGGAAAAAAGCTCCCGGCCCTTTGGCGTCGCGTTAACGACGATGACGTCTTAACGAGGCAGTCGAACTTCCAGAGACGCGGCGGTCCATGGAACCGCAGGAATTCGCTTCGTCCAATTTGATTTTCTTCTTCCTCTTCTTCCTTTCGTTTTTCAATTAAAAATTATTTTCCAAGTTTAATAGCAGATTCGAAGCATTCATGGCAGAAATGAATTTTACCATGGGACCGCCGGGACCATGGAACTGCCGCAAAGCGCTTCGTCCAATTTGATTTTCTTCTTCTTCTTCCAACAACGCGATTTCCGCCAGCTGTTTCCTTTCGTTTTTCAATTAAAAATTATTTTCTAAGTTTAATAGCGGATTCGAAGCATTCATGGCAGTAATGAACGGAACGAATACAAAACAGCAAAACCGTTAAAAGCATTTGAAAGTTTTGCTGTACTATATTCGTCCTAGCGAGCCTGGTAGAAAGCAAATCACTTTCAATCGTTCCAGTTTCCTGCGAATAAAAGATCAGCTTCCCTTGGAACGATCATAAAATTCGGAATCGATGGAAAACGGCGTTGATCTCGGTGACTGCGACAGAAAAGATCAGGGACCAGTCACGTTTCAATTTCGTCCGGGCTGTTGGATGACTTTGTTTCGCCGTGGTAAAAATTCTGGAGTTCGGAACGGAACAGAAGTTTGCCGAAAGAGCTGGTCCGAGGCATCTATTGGATTGGCAACTAAGTAACTGCCGATTTGTTCAATGAAATAAAAATTTTTTTTACTTGGAACGAAGTTTAATCTGTAATGTGTTTTCCATTTTGTTCGATGACCTTTTGCCATCTCTCCGACAACTTGAAAATTCCACGCTCGTAGAAAGTCTGATCCTTTTCGGCCAAAAACTGAGTTAAGTGAGGTTTTACAGCGTCATCGTCGTTAAAAGTTTTACCACGAAGGGAGTTGTCCAGGGATCGAAATAAGTGGTAATCCGATGGCGCGAGATCGGGGCTATGTGGTGGGTGTAACATCAATTCCCAACCAATATCCATCAATTTTTGCCGAGTGGACAAAGACGTGTGCGGCCTAGCATTGTCCTGCTGGAAAATGACACCTTCACGATCGACCAATTCTGGTCGCTTTTCCTTGACCGCTGCATTCAATTTGTCCAGTTGCTAACATTCACGGATAATAAAAAATAACAATAATAATAATAATTTTATAATATAACATTTACGGATATCATAAAAATGGGAGTGA